TGCAAACCCAGTGGTAGCTGCTGAGGTTTAAGGCTGTAAATCAGCAGGAGGAGCTAGTCAGTGGATTGGAGACTCGAGTGAGGATCCAGAGGAGATGTGGAGTGTTTGCCTACCAAGCTGCTGAGAAGTGAAGGAGTGGGGAGCTGGAGACACAGCTGAAGAGGGACATAAAAGCACAGCAAATATTCAGATGGCAGCACTGATGTGCACCTGCAGCACACGATGCTCAGTGGTGGAGAAAGCAGAAATCCCACAAAGATCCAATCAGGGCTGATGGTGTTGTTGCAGAATTGTGGCATTTTTTAAGCACAGTAACACACCTAATTTCCCTTGCAAACATGTATGATTAGGAGGGCAGCTCTGCTACAGGTGAAGGCAGCAGACAAAAGCAAGACATTTCTGAAGGAGCTGTTGAGACAGGTCATTCCAGCTCAGAATGAGATAAAATAGTCTCATTTACTTCAGCCTGTTTCAAAAAGAGAGAAAAAATATTTTCTAGGTGGGTTACACCATATTTATTTGTGTGTAAAATAGTCTCATTTATCTCAGCCTGCTTTGAAAAGAGAGAAAAAAATATTTTCTAGGTAGGTTTCATCATTTTTATTTGTGTGTTAGCCCCTTGCACAGCAGGCCTCTAAACAGGCTGTAATTCAGCACGCCTTTACATTTTCTTTGTAATTTCTTTCTCAGGGGTTCTGGGGTTTAGGCAGCAAGGGAACAGATTTAATGCTTGCTTGTTGTGGGACTCAGCTTTGTCTGGCAATATACAGGCAATTTACTTTGCATTTGTTTCAGTCAGCCTCTGACTGAACGGGATGGGAGCACTCATTCTTTTTTCCCATGGTGGGATTTTAAAAACAGAAGTGTGGATGAAATGTCACACAAAACAATTGAGTGAGCTGTTTTAGCTGTTTTTAACTTGGAATGAAAAAAGAAAACGAGCATGGAGCTTCATTTTCCCCAGTTTTGGGTGTGAAACAGGTGGGAGCAGGGAGGGTTTGGCAGGCTCCACACTTGTGTTCACAGAGGGACTCTCAGATGAGTTGCACCTCAGGTTTTTCCCAGCTGCAGAACCTGTCACTAGTGAGGGTTCAAAGTGGTGGATGAAGCACCAAGACTGAGAGTAAAAGGCCTTAAAATCTTAGAAAATTCGGGGACTTTGATAGAAAGTTAGGTTTGGAAAGCCCTGGGAAAAGAAGGCCCTGGGAAATGTTTGACCTTGTGCTTGCTAAAGATCAGGTCAAACTGCACCTGTGTAGTCAGTATATGATAAATGATACAATTGTTAGATGTGATTAGATATAATTATTGTTTAAAGAATCATGAGGAACAATGTTAGAGGTTTGAGGGGGATCACAAGAAATCCATGCTTGGGTAAAATCAGTGCATACAATAGAACAATGTAAGTTTAATAATTAATATGTAAGTTGTATAATGATAGTGTATAAAATATGTTCAGCCCAAAACCAAGCTGGGTCAGATTTGTGTCTGTGTACCCCTGACATGCAGAGTTCTTCAATAAAGCACCTCCATAAAATCATTCTGTGACTGTGTGTGTTCCTGAACGCTAACACAGGCTCCACATTTGTGTTCACAGAGGGACTCTCAGAGGAGTTGCACCTCAGGTTTTTCCCAGCTGCAGAACCTGTCACTAGTGAGGGTTCAAAGTGGTGGATGCAGCACCAAGCCCATGGCTCTGAGGGTCCCCAGGCCCTGGAGAAACCTCTGGGATGTGATTGAGAGCAGGGTGCTGTCTCATTGCTCAGCGCACACGCGGGCTGCAGGACCAGCTTTGCTAAAAGGCACCGGCTCATGAGTCAGAAGATGTGTTTTGAGCTTTAAGCCAGACTTTGTATCTTCATTTTTTTGCCTCCTCTGCTCCTTCTGCAGGGTCCATTAGCGTGGTGTGCCCTGAGGGCCAGGCAGGAGAGGGCAGCCCAGCCTGGCAGGGTCCCTGGCTGCAGCTGCCATGTGGATAATGTCACCAGCAGCATTTCTTTAGCCACACTGAACATTGCTCAAGCCAGCCCAAAGTACCCCTGAGAGATTCCAAGAGCAGCTGAGTGAGGATTGCATCCCTGGGAGGCTGGAAAGTCTCATGGAATGGCTTCAAGGTTGCTTTCAGAAGCAATAAAGCTCAGCATATGTCAGCATGCTGGAAAGCAGGGGAAAAACAATCCAAGCATCATCTCATACTTCTTTAAATCTACAGGAACCAGGTCCAGTCTAACTGCACACAATTATTCCTTCTCATCCTCTCACACCTTCCATACAGAGATTCATACGAGGGAGCAGGCAAGTTTCTTTCACTATTTTATTTTATTTTATTTTATTTTATTTTATTTTATTTTATTTTATTTTATTTTATTTTATTTTATTTTATTTTATTTTATTATTTTATTTTATTTTATATTATTTTATTTTATATTATTTTATTTTATTTTATTTTATTTACTCTTATTTTATTTTATATTTCTATTTTATTTTATATTATTTTATTATTTTATTTTATTCCTTATTTTATTTTATTTTAGTTTAGTTTAGTTTAGTTTAGTTTAGTTTAGTTTAGTTTATTTTTCTATTTTAGTTTATATTTCTATTTTAGTTTATATTATTTTATTATTTTATCTTATTTTATTTTATTTTATTTTATTTTATTTTATTTTATTTTATTTTATGTTATTTACTCTTATTTTATTTTATATTTCTATTTTAGTTTATATTATTTTATTATTTTATTTTATTTTATTTTATTTTATTTTATTTTATTTTATTTTATTTTATTTTATTTTATTTTATTTTATTTTATTTTATATTATTTTTATTTTATTTTATTTTATTTTACTTTATTTTATTTTATTTTATTTTATTTTATTTTATTTTATTTTATTTTATTTTATTTTATATTATTTTATTATTTTATTTTATTCCTTATTTTATTTTATTTTATTTTAGTTTAGTTTAGTTTAGTTTAGTTTAGTTTATTTTAGTTTATATTTCTATTTTAGTTTATATTATTTTATTATTGTATCTTATTTTATTTTATTTTATGTTATTTACTCTTATTTTATTTTATATTTCTATTTTAGTTTATATTATTTTATTATTTTATTTTATTTTATTTTATTTTATTTCATTTCATTTCATTTCATTTCATTTCATTTCTTTCTGGCAACAATTTAGTCTAAAATGTGCAGCACAAGAGGCGTCTTCTCAAAAGTCTACATGGATTAATCCCAGCTGGTAGATGACCAAAACAATTTTGTGCCATTCACAGTAAATAAATACGTATAGAATTTCAAGGTAGCCCTTTGACCCCCTGGCATGTGCAAGCTGACTTTTAGCAGCAGGATCTCCTGAGAAGGTGAATACAGGCAGCTACTGAGGAGATTAGAATATTGAATATTATAGAATAGAGAATAATGAATTCAATATCAATATTCAATTGAATAAATCCAATGTTAATATTCAATGTTAATATTCAATAATAATATTCAGTATTCAATAATATTCACTATTAATTCAATAATTAATGTAAATTAATTAATTCAATATTAATGTAAATTAAAAAGGGTGACATTGGTCTCAAAGATTTAAGTAAATCCTTTCCATTTATCACCTTACAGCTGTCCTCTGTCTTTGCCTTGTGGTTTCTCCAGTCAGCCTGGAGAGGAGAACACAAAGGCATGGGTTCAATGCATGTGGGAAATGAGATGTGCAGTCATTTCTTGGCTAGCAAGCTGAAAAGCCTGATAGCCACGTGAGAGAGATGGAGGGCTGTCATTTGAGAGTGTTTTCAGCGAGGACATTACATGGAAGCATGAACCATGACACAGGAAGGTGAAAGGGCTGGAACTGGAGTCTAAGAATTTTGAAAATGTGTTGCTTAAATGTGATAAACCCCAAAACAATTTAGAAGAGGGAGAACAGTTATTGAAAGCAAATATATCAGATCCTCAGTGAATAACTGGTGTAGCTCTAAATAACCTCTGTTATTAGAAGTGTTTCATCTTTCAAGAAGGACTGTCTAATGTGACAGTCACCGTGGAATAAGGCTGAAATTGAGGACACCAGGGAGGAGGCTGTGTGTGTGTTGAAGAGCGTTGCTGATGGTGAAGAGACAAGAGAAATAACACAGAAAATGCTCACAGGGTGGGTCATGCTGGAAAGGAACCCCTGCTGCAGCCTCCCTGCAGGTGGCCCAGGATTGTGCCCAGATGGGATATCTGGGATATCCCAGCCAGGGAGACTCCACAGCCTCTCTGGGCAGTCTGTTCCAGCGGGTGATCACTGCACAGTGCAGAAGTTCTTCCTCAGCCTCAGCTGGAGCCTCCTGTCCATCAGCTCCTGCCCATCCTTGTCCCATTGCTTGGCACCACTGAGAAGTGCCTGGCTCCATCCTCTTGCCTTTAGACATTTTTACACATGGATGAGATTTCCTCTGCTCTCTTCTCCAGGCTGAACAGACCCAGCTCCCTTCTGCCTTTCCTGGTGAAAGATGCTCCAGTCCCTTCATCATCATCTTCAGTGTCCCCCTTGTCCTGGGGAGCTCACAGCTGGACACAGCACTCCAGATGTGCCCCACAGGGCTGAGCAGAGGGGCAGGGTCACTCCCTGAGCTGCTGGCAATGCTCTCCCTGGTGCACCCCACGGGCCTCCAGCACTCAGTTAATAATTTGCAAAGAAGCTGCTGATGATACATGACAAGGCTAAGCCACGGAACAGATCTTTGCCTGATTTAAATCAGCATAGCTCCAGGAAAGCCAAGAGAGGAATACTAATTTGTGTCACAGCTGCTGGTTTATTTCATTGAATGTGTGTTTTACCTCTTTATTTTCCATGCAGGATCAGAGTTACTCATCTGTTCATCTCTGTACTCCAGCCAGGATTCCCTCAGTTTGATAATCCTTCATTTTTGTGCAATATCTTAATCACTTCTGATG